AATAGCGACTGTATGTGCCACAGCACCATGCGCTCGAAGCCGATGGAGCAAAACCCATCAGTGCCTGTCGTTTCCGCACTTACCGCTTTTTCTCTGTATGTACGATGGCTTCTCCTGTATCTCTGCAACTGCCTTCATGAGCAGATGGCACCACGCATGCCGATCAACCGCCTTCGATTCCCATCACCTGCAATCAAGATTAGAATGTGAGAGGCTCAATTTGATCATCTCCTGGTAACCTAAATTAGGTTTCCCCACATGCTGCTACCCAATACGCAGCTGACCATAGAACAGCTGTTTCGGTTTCTGCGTCGAGTCCATACGTCAACATGACCGAGACCCCTAAATTGTCTCAGCAAAAGTGTGTAGTCTACTGCACACATTCCACTTCGAAGCAACACTTTTGTGTCCGCAACTCTGTCGTCCCATCCGATGCGCAGAATCCGTCGAAGGCACTGTTGATGCAACCGCTCGACATATCGCATATCCCGCAGGTACAAAATTTACGTGTCGCTGCCGTATGTAAGAAAGGAAGCACCAAGTATTTGTACAACATCAGCTTCGTAGCAATGCTAAACTGATGGTTGTTCCCCATTAAGCTATTCTAGCTTCCCGAATGCCGTCGACGCCTTCGAGACGCGGATACGAAGCTCACTGTGAAGCTGCTGGTCAGTCGAAATCATACTCACAAGGTAGCAGAAGCGGAAGGTTCTTTCCAATACATCAGCACATAGGCTGATTTTCGGCAATATTGAAGATTGCACCTCAAATGAAGGCTGAAAGAAACAGAGAGTTTGGCTTGTGTTGATAATGAGCCCGAATTTGGCCGCTGTCGAAGCCAGAGCACTAGTCATGTGCTGCAACTCATCCGCGCTGCGCGCAAACAACGCACAGGCGTCAGCAAACAGCAACATACGGATAGTTGTCTCACAGACTAGCGGTCTCGCACCAAAACGACGGATGTTCAGCAATGCACCATCAATACGGTGCTCCACATGAACATCGTAAGCACAAGCGGAATCAAAAGCACAATACATCATTGCATGGAGATATATATTAAAGAGGGCAGGAGCTAAGACACAGCCTTGCTTCACACCAGTGACAACTGCAAGTCATCCGAAGTCTGTCCACTCAGCTGCACGCTCAACCGCATACCACTGTGCGGACATACAATTTAACCTACAAACTTACACGGAAAACCAAAGTTACCCAACTCCAGCCAAAGTTCCTGGCGTTTCACCGTATCAAATGTCTTGGTGAAATCAACAAATGGTCAGTACCATGGCTGGTGTCGCTAAATACACTACTCCTTAAACCGACGAGCTAAGAACACCATAGCTATATTGCTGCGGCCCGGGTGGAATCCACATTCCTTTTCCGCCACCTTCGGTTCAACGACCTGAGTGACGAGGCGGCAGAGCAATTGCAGGGCGGTCTCTTTCCAAACACAACGCAGCAAGTTGATGCCATGATAATTCTTGCATCATTGCTTACTCGATTTGCTCTTGTATAGTGGTAGCACATGGGCATCCTTCAGCCCAGAGGACACCTCCTCTTCAAAACACATGCGTTGCACCCAATGATGCAGCGCAGTCACCAATGCAGGTCCGCTGTTTGTCAATATTGGGGACGGGGTCCCGTCGGCACCGGCACACTTGCCGTTTCGCAGCTGAGCAAGTGCTGTCTGCGTCTCATCCAGTGTCGGTGTGTCGGAAAGACACGTCTTCATCTTGCTGTTGCAGCTTGTGCAACACAGTCCAGTCGATCTCTGAACAGTTGTTCAAGAGACAGTCAAAGTGTTCTTGCCAAATCTGCATTATGTCTGCAGTCTGTGTGCAGGTGGCGCCTGAACAACCGTCGACCAGCGTCCTCAGCGGCTCCAATCTCCGTCCATACACTGCCTTCAAGGAGTCAACGAATTCCTTGTGTTTGCGGTGTTCGGCGTAGCATTCCATCTGCCTCGCCTTCTCCGTCCACCATGCATTTTAATGCGACGCAGCTCTCGGGTCAGTCGCCGTAGTCAGTTGGTGAGACTGACTCTTCTTCCCCAAATCATTGGGGTTTGCCACACATGCAGTAAATGCTGCTTTCTTCTCTGACACCAATGCGCTAATCGTTGCATTGTTCTCATCAAACCAATCAGGTCGCTTACAATTTGTGCACCCGATCGTCTCCTCGGCAGCAGCTGTCACCTGGTGGCGAATGTGGTGCTACAGGTCGCCCACTATGCAGTCCACATCACAAAGGCTTGCACTCGTTGCCTTCTCCAGCCCAATCACTTTCTCCACAGTACCGTGGGAGAATGTTAAATTTACGCCTCTGATTCACGGCAGGCACACAGTAAGCACTTTTCCGCCCCGTTTGTGAACAATTTAGAAAGCGCCAATTTGTGGACAGTGCCACACTCAGCTCCCCGCAGTACACGTCATGCGCACTTCACGCATGTCACGCTGACGTACGATGTCATAGTCGAGCAGGTGAGCGTGACCACTCCGTGGGTGCGTCCAAGTTGCTATATCACTCGCACTGAGTGCAAACCGAGTGTTCGTGATCCTCAGGACTTGAGTGGCACACAGTGAGAGCAGCCTGTCACCGTTCGCATTCGCTGAACCCATGCCATGCAGACCGATAACATCTGTCCATACCGATGCATCACGCCCAACGCGCGCGTTGAAATCACCCAGCAGAAATGGTCGGTCGCTCCTCGGCACAGGCCGTATCACGGAGGATAACTGAGTGTAGACTTGAGCACGCGTGTCATCAGGATAACACATGGTCGGACCGTACGTGCTTATAAAGGTGGCAAACTTACCTCTTCCGAATCGTAGGCGAACAGTCATCAGTCGCGCGTTGATGCCTTTTGGTTCACCTACCATTTGGCCATTTAGGCGATCGGATATTTCAAATCCGACCCCATGTTCAGCTGTTGCTGATGCGACGTTGCTCACCTGGTAGAATGTGCAGCCAGCAAAAGCTTCATGCAACTTACCTTGCTCAGCGAGTATGTTTTCACTGAGCTTTACAATATCGAAAGAGTAGCGCACCAGTTCCATCGCGGCCAGTGCAATTCTTCTTTTGGGTGATCACTCGAGTCCCGATCCTGTATTGTGCGCACGTTTCAGCACCCGATGCTGACTGTTTTGCGCGTAGGCATATTCTTGTATTGGTGGGCAATCGCACGCGATTTGGCAGTTGTTCTTCGGAGTTTTGCTTGAGGGTCTCCACCTGGATCCTTTGGCTCAATATCCTGACCCACAAAACAATGGGTTGTTTGGAGGTTTGCTTGAGGGACTCCGTTCGGAGCCTTTGGCTCAATAGCCTGATCCACAAGGCAGTAAGGAGCAGATCCAGCTAGGGAATGTAATTTCAGGGACAGAGTAGGATCTGCTTGACGGCCGTCACACGCAGCCTTTGAGGTACTGAAACGATTCATATTTTTTGCGATCCTAGTAGGATAGACTTGCGACCACGGCCAGACGCAGGTGGGTTTTGGCGGGTTTGCACCAATTTTACCAGGGGTTGCCGTCTGGCTTGAGGCGGGCAGCAGCAAACCATTGAACACCCGGAGGTGTCCTCCCACCGTCAGAGACAATGCGTGGTGCCCGTGCTCTACGGCAATCGAGCTGTGCGTTTATAAACCGTGGACCTGTTGTCTCCCATGGATAGGTTTTACGGGAAGAGGGCCATCGACCACTTCCTAACCTCCGAAGAGGATGGTCTAGGATTCTGGCCCGGCGCTTACACCTGACATAAAAACGACTCGGGTCCTCAGCCAAAGCCAACCATTAAATGTACATCTGAAAGGCAGCGGGGCTAGCACATGGTCAGTTCACTGGCTCATGCGGATTAGTATCCTAGAACTTAGCAAGCAGAAGGGGCGTACCCCAACTCCCACCCAACGGTCACCACGATGAGTCGTCCAGGACATAAACCCATGGCACACAGTAGCAACAGTGGGTAGACCATCTGTCGGGATGGAGCTACTAACAGCGTCAGCGCATCATAGGCTCTCTGGCCTAATATACAGCACTTAAAAGGACAATAATAGATGTATCTGGATCCAGAGAATGAATGCGTTTGATAACCACAACTCAACACTGCCGTCATTAAAACTAGTCCAGCAAATACTCTTAAATTATGTTAACTATTCGAGCACTGTGTGTTAGCCAAGTGTAACTTGGACTTCAGTTGTTTCTGTTTCTGCAGTAGGGCTGGTAAGACTATTATTTGGTACGATTGTAAGGATGTCTTGCAATTTTTGAAAATATGTTAACCACAGCTACATTCATTCATAAAGCCACCATACATTATGGGGATCCTGATCGAATGTCTCGCTTCGTCTGGACCAACGGTAGCTAACATTTCAGCCAGCTGATAAGTGTCAGCGGCGGATGAATAGTGCTTGGCTACAGATAGCCACCGATAACATGGCGGACGTACTTTCAAAAATACCAACGGAATTCCCTCCAAGGACAACGGATTTGCACCGCCCGAATACTGTTACTAAACGCCATCCGACTACGTCAATGTGTTAATAGGTATCCTGCGAGCCTTTTCTCCCTGGATTGGGCAAACGACCCCACTTCCTCTCTGACTGTAGGCAAGTGTTCTTAGGATCATAGCATTACGCTGTAGTCGTTACTCTCACGCTGAAATTGTTGTCCCTAGTGAGAATCGACTAGCAGAATATGAAAGACGTATCCATAGATTATAAAAGGTCTAGGAGCCGTCGGGTTTTGAAGAAGAAATGTAGCGAATGTGCACAACCTATTATTCCGGTCAATCAACTGTTGCCAAAACTAATCAAGTGGCGTTCGGAAATCTTCGCGGTCTTTTTGGGCTGCCGATCAAGTGCCTAAGCCAACTCGAGACCTCGTATTTTGGATGGTCTCTCACAGCTTAAAACCATTGCACCCACACGTTTTATTCTCTTAGACAGTAATTTACCAATGTACTTATTGTGTACCCTAGACCCATTTGTCACCTCATCTTTGCTCCAGATTGACCATACACCATTGAATCCAACGGATTGGAATCTAGTATCCATATGGTTTCAAGGCCACATCTATCCATCGATAGAGGCATTGATTGGAGCCTACGAAAATGGCTCGGTCCACATTATCCAACGGCCTTTTGTGGATTTATATCACACCCAACTTCAGCCCGGCCCGAGTCAACAACAAAACGTGAGGTTTGGAAATGATGTACCAACCAGCGAAGCCATATCACCCAGATCTTTGGGGGATACACTTCGAAGCACCTTCGGTCCAAAACAAAGCAGTCCTTCTTCCTCTAATTTGAACCGTAATGGTTTCAAGGGCGTTCAGATGACGAAAAAGCATGATCGAAATAGACGGATATCACTGCGACAGCGCAGAGTGCAATTTGAACATTGGGACTTCCACTTTACTCTTCGAAGGGAGACAGGACTCCGAGTGTATAATGTCAGGTTTGCAGGGCGAAAGCTGATAGCTGAAGCGGGATTGGATGAAACAGTGACGGCTTATTGGGGAGTTTCACCTTTTATGCGCAGTATGACTTCATTGGAATCAATGTACGGAGTAGGCGCAATGACCAGCTCACTAAGCCCCGGTATAGACTGTCCGCTAGAAGCGATTTACCTCCCAGCCTTGATGATCCCAAACGCACAGCAAGGCCCTCGGGTAATCAAACAAGCGATATGCCTATTTGAGTGGACCATGCAGCCTCCAGGTGGTCCTGAGAGAAGACATTTTGAATTCTTCGGAGAGAATATCCAAGCAGTCGACGGAAGTACACCAACGGCTAGTCATACCAATTTCGGCTTGGGAGTGCCTAGCAAAGCTCTTGTGCTTCGCTCCATTGCAAGTCTTTTTAATTATGACTATATATTCGACATTGTATTTCACAACTCAGGGGTTGTTGAACTGGCGGTGACTCCAACAGGGTACGTTCATCTTGATACCGTTTTCTCTCAACGGTCTGAAAACAACACGGGTGGCGTTCAAAGACCACATTCGTGGGACACGAATCATGCATATGGGTTCCCTTCTAGCAAGTTTCCTATTTACTTTGTCATACACCAACATCTGTTTCTTTACCAAATCGATTTGGATGTCATGGGAGAAAAAAATTTTGTTCGTGTTGTTGACACTCACGGACAGATCAATCACAACCGGGGGCGGTCCGTCTGTCAACTCCCGGGGCACTCGGATGAGAGTTCGTGTCCAGCCCTTTGGATGACATTTCGAGATGTAAAAACCGAAACGGAAGCTCGGTATTCCATGAATTTCGAACATCCCAAGCAGTACTTAGTTTGCCAAAGTGGGTCAGAAGGATCGGGTCGTGTAAACCCGCGGTGTGTCTCATTGGTGAATCGAGGCGCGATCAAGACGCTGCTCGGGGACAACCATACGAGGGCATTCTCATGGTCCAAGTAAGTTTCCGGAAATATGTTATGCCTGTGTTTGCTCCATCTAAAACTAAACAGTCTGTCAATCGGTAGGTTCTTGCTAATGCGTGGGTCCGCGTGTACTCCAGGTTTTCTTGGCAACACTCATATCAACTACCTGCTCAGTAAAGTTTCTCGTTTCACTAATCCAATTAAACTTTGAATCCCAAACACGCGAAGTTTCAAAAGTCCCAAACGGAGATAGGGAATATCGTTGGGACTAGTATAGATGATATCTTCTGACTGCTGTGATAGTGAAAATACATTGTTATCAAACTATTGCATCGTTACATCACGTACAATACGGTTGACGTCAAATTTCACTCGAGTGTGTCTCTAATCTTTTTACCGTTGGAAATGATAAGCCAAGGAATAGATGATGATTTAAAATCCACTTCAGGTATACTCCAGTATTTTGGATATTTTTCAGTGGCAAGCACATTACACCATATAACAAAACCGTCATGGTAAGCAGCTGCATTGCATAATCCATTTCCATGTCAGCGCGCAATGGATAATTAAAAACTGTTCGTAACCAGTTAGGAGGCACGTGCTTTATAAATTCCGTTAGGTGGTTTGTTGATTTGTATGAACACAAATGTTGAAGACATACAGCACCATTTCGAGCAAACAACAGGGCCTCGTCTTTTGCGAGTTTATGAGCCGGTATTTTTACCTTTCGTGTTGCTCTACAGCATAGCTCGATGCCAGCTAGTGTAATCAAGGCTTTTAGGCCAGTATTGCAACGGAACTATCATCTTAGGTTAATAAGTTCGTCATCCTGCTGTCTTCTAAATATAGCTAGTGCCTATTCGGAAGCAATGCATCCAGGGATGTCATCAACCAGAAGAAGTGGAATATCTGCGGCTTTTAAGTGAATGTGTTGACAGCTTCGTAGAGTGACATCTCCGGTCGTAGTAACTTGTGAGCTTCGGCAAAGCACTGCATACGTGTTGGAAGGTCAGTTTTGGACTACACGTTGTGTGGACGGATTGCGACAGGCAATCTCAAAATGGGCCGCGATTCCCATTGAAGTGAACCTTGTCCATTCGATTACTAGGACCCTCGCTGATAAACCAGAAGCAAATTAGGTGTCACCCGCCTGAAATCACTGCACTCTATGACACGTTTCAAGGTTATTTCCTCTCGTCAGTTAGAGATAGCAAATACCGAATCCGGGACTATTAGGATGTTAATTGTGACCGCTACCCCTATCTGATGAGAGGAAATAACCTCGAAACGCTTCATGGAGTGCAGTGTTTTCAGGCGGGTAACACCCAAATTGCTTCTGTTTCATCAGCTACAGGCCTAGTGATCGAATGGTCAAGGTTCACTTCAATGGGTATCGCAGTTCACTTTGAGATTGAGCGTCGCAATCCATCCACACAACGTGTACTTCAAATTAACCCTCCAATCTGTCATTAACCGTTGTGTCAAACCTCGCCCGTCGTGTCCCGGTGGCTTAGGGGTAGCGCTCACAAGTAACATCACAATAGTCCCTGGTTCGATGCCTGCTATCACTGCATACGTGATTTGATCTGTGCAGGAACAGGCACGCTACTAATAGATCGTCCCGTAGTCGATGATTCCGTCCGTTAAACACTCCCAGACACGTATGCATCCGCTCGCATGAGAAATTGCTTATTCCATTGAGCTAATTGGAAGCTTGACCTTAGTGTTTTCCCGGAACAATGAGGTCTTGTTCAAGCCATGACTCCAAGGCATGAATTGCGCATCTGACGGGTGGAATTGTCTGTATGTTTGAACACCCACTCCAGCAGTCCGATATGTTGTTTGCCAGAATTCATGATTTCTCTGAGTGCTTTAAACAACAAAATGCACGTTGAACCAGGACACCTGTTGTCGCGTTCTGCGGAGTAATACGATACATATGAGCCGGCTATGTCAGTAGGTGTTATCGTGTCGTACAGACAGTCTCTTGCATTTGCTCATGTTGAACCGCAGTAGCCTTTGCGATGCCCAGTGCTTTCGTGAACAGTTAGGGATTAGCATAAATCTTACCCATTCGATATATCGTTATATCGTCATCAAAAGTGGGAGACTTGAAGCGACGCTTTGCTCGAGATCGTTAAAGCTTAACAACAAACGAGGTTTTAACACTGACTCTTGCAGCACGCCACATTTAACTGTATGGGGTCAGATAGAAAGTATCGGACTTTAGCAGTCAAGTGCACTAGAAAACGGAGGATGGCGAATCCAACTCAATGGTGGATCACCGAAACCTTAGCTCGGTAGCCGGGAAAGAAGGATCCAGCGATGTAGACGATTCAGTGATTTCTAGAAATCCCAGTATGTTACATCGACGTATTATTCAATGTCAGCTGACTAAGTCCAACTACTCCATGCTGTTAGAAAACTCGTGGTTCTCGCTCGATGTCGACGAACTCCTTGGTGTCTGGGAGCAGTAATGTCGGTTTTCCAATGATTCTGAATGCTGAATACTGAGAATAGTGAGATAGTAAACATTCATATTTGTTCCTTTATCATAGTTAGATTGGACATGTGCGCAGAAGCGAGTCACTGATTCCAGTGCTTTTGCGGCATATTACAACTGCGCCATAAGCTATTCGAGTGCGATGAGCTCTGTAAATCTGAGATCCTTAAAATAAGTGTCTAGGAATTGTTTTGATTTTGACACCAGTCACACACCGACTATTTTCTCGGGACAAATGTTCGCCAATTTGCTACTCGCCGCTCGAAGCAAAGTGGGTGACCTATCCGCTTTAGGTCCGGTACCACAGACACGTACCGGTGGTCTCGAGTACGGCTTGGTGCGCGCACGTGCAGCAGTGGCATCAGTATGGGGAAGTTACCCAGATGTAATGTCCGGTGCGTCATTATGAGGTCCACTCGAAAACGACGACACAACGGGGTGTACAGTTCTCGTCGTCTGCATAGGTCTTCGTCATTTGGGCATACGTTTAGTAGTTGCATGGTTAACCTGTTCCAGTCTCTGCATCACGCCACGGTTGATCGGCCAGTAGGCGGGTGATCAGTACCCGAGCGTCGGTCTTTTGATGGAAGAGAGTAGGCGCGCGGCCATCTCTTCAGACCGAATGCAGAAGCCGCACAGTCCGTTTCCATGTAGCTTGTTCGTGTTGTCTACGGACTTCAAATCACAGCGTGAGAGTACACCGAAGTCCTACAAGGAAGAAGGAAGTACGCAGCGGTTGGCCGGCCAGTGTGTATGGACGCACATCAACACTGTTCTCCATGCTCATATATGAAGATTTGACTGTTGACCGGCAGATCCATATCTGCAGACCACCTGGACAGGAGGTTGAGATTATGCCGAAGTACGTCACAATCATCTGCAGCATCAGTTATTCTGCGAATCTTCAGATTGTCTGCAAACATGGCACAAGGCGACCGAAGAAGCTGAGGCACTTCGTCGATGTGGATCAGGAATAAAATGTGCCCCAGTACCTTGGTCACCCCACTGGTGGAGGAATACCGGTCCGATAGATGTTCATCCATCTATATCCTACATTTCCGTCTCATAAGGAAGTCACTGCTCCACTTGTGCAGTGGGCCACGAACACCGCACATCCTTAGCTTGTTGGGGAGAACTTCATGGTTCACTTTGCGGAATGCTTTATTGAAATCAATGTAGCTCCCGTCCACCTGCTTGCAGCCATTCATTCCGCGTCAATAGCAAGTTGGTTATCAATAAGCCCTGCTGTGCGGTGGTCTGGAGGTTTTTCGACTCAAGCAACTGCAGTAGACCATTTGCACGATCTTCTCGAGTACTATAGCCGAAACTGGGTCGGACAAATCGAACGGTAAGTGCCTACCTTTCTTGGGTCACTGACTATCGGAATCGCCTTCTGTACCGAGTATTTCCAGTTGCTCGGAAATGTCTCTTAGAAGAGCGATCTGTTCAACAGATCAGTCGCGGAGGGTGATGTGTGTCATTTAAACACAATTCTTTGTTACACCAAGCCAAGATGAAGCAAGTAACTTCACCAAGGGCAGTGATCAACGAAACGACTACGTCTCGGTATCGAGTGGCTCTATGAATTATTCCAGATTTATTAAGTGGAAAGAACAAGACGTTAGTGACCAATGCTCTCCTTGACGCCCGATCCGATACATCGCTTGTTGACGAACAGACACTACATGAGCATTATTTTCCTACAAGGCCGTCAGATGTGTAGATAACAACGGTTACCAGTGACTGATATGTGTGCTCGCAGGTGGTACAACTGGAGATGCAACACATGGACAGTTTAAATCTCCGTACGTAGATCATGAGTGGTCCGTCAAAAGGATGCCAAATGTACAAAGGATCCTATCAGAACCAGGACGCTTACACAGTTGGGAGCACTTAAAGGACCTGAAATTGGACAGTTGAGATCGAGGCGTCGGAGTAATAATAGCAGTATGGATGTCCCGGAAGCCCATTGGGGAGTTGAGCTTCGATATGAAAAGTCCTCGTACTCCTTTGCTATACGGACGCCATTGGGCTGGATTCTGCTTTGGCAAGTTGGGGGATCAGGCGTATCTAGCATTTATACCAATGCTATTAACGCAGATTAAAGATCGGCATTTCTCGAGATAATGTATGAGTTAGGCTTTACCGAGTCATGCAGCTTAAGATCCGGAATGTCTGTTGAAGATAGCATGATCTAGAGCATACTGAGTCGTCTATCATTAAATGTGGTTCGCATTGCCAACTACGTTTAACGTGGTAAGATGGATGCCCAAATCTACCCAATAAATATCCAGTAACTTACCGAAGGTTCATGTCTTTGCGCTGAAAACACAATGGACAACCCAAAATTACATCAGAGGTACACTGCTGCTGTCAAGGAGTACATTTCAAGCGGGTTTGCAGAGATGATTGACATGGGACCGTTTGGTGGTAAGAACAGCGCTCCGGAGATGTCTCACACACAGTGACGCATGCAAACAAGCCTTGGAAAGTCCGCGTCATTTTCGACTGTGCTAGCATCTACCAAGGT